CCTTGCCATGAAGTTTCCCACTGAGCATGGCGTGGGAGTAGTTAAGGGGAACCAACAAGCTGCCAGACGGTGCTATGTTACAACACTAAAAGGCAAGAACAAAGAAACATTACCACTGGAAGGGCTCGACCTCAATGACAAACCAACAAGCTGAGGACCTCATCTCAATTCCCTTAGATGAGGTCGAGCCCAAGAATATGGTACTAGTCAGATCATGCCTCCCTCAGGACACACTTTTCAAACTGGTAAGATTCCTCAAAACTAATGGACGTCTTTGCTTGGTCTACCACTGGTATGCCAGGGATTGATCCCTCGGTCATTACTTATAGGCTAAGCATGGACCCGAGCTGTAAACCAGTTCGGCAAAAGAAGAGGAACTTTGCACCGGAGCATTGGAATGCCATCAGAGAGGAGGTACATAAGCTACTCGACGCTGACTTCATTCGAGAGGTACACTACCCAAAATGATTGTCTAACGTGGTTATAGTTAAGAAAGCTAATGGGAAATGGTGCATATGCATTGACTTCACATATATTAACAAGGCCTACCCAAAGACAGTTTTCCTTTGCTGAGGATTGATCACCTCGTTGACTCCACCATAGGGTACGAGTTGTTAAACTTCATGGACGCTTTCTCTAGGTACAACCAGATCAAGATGCACCCCGACGACAAAGAAAATACCCCATTCATCACCAACCATGACACCTACTAGTACAAAGTAATGCCTTTCGGATTGAAGAACACCAAGGCCACCTATTAATGGCTGGTGAACAAGATATTCAAGGACCAGAAGGAGAGGAATGTTGAGGCCTACGTCGATGACATGGTAGTGAAGAGCTTGAAGGCTAGCCATTACACCTCGGACCTCAACGATACCTTTGGGGTGCTAAGGAAGACTCCATCAAATATGCATTTGGCAGTACCTCGGGCAAGTTTTTGGGCTTCGTCGTCACTCAACGAGGCATAGAGGCCAACCTCAAAAAAATACAAGCCATACTTGACATGGAGCCTCCTCGGTCCATCAAGGAAATTCAAAGACTCACTGGCCGAGTTGCAACCCTTAGCCGGTTCATGTCAAAGTCAATCGAATGTTGCATACCTTTCTTCTAAGCTATCAAGAAACTGAAGGACATCCAATGAACTGAAAAGTGCTAGAAAGCCTTTAAAGAATTGAAGTCATACCTCACGTCACCTCCTCTGCTCACGCGATCCCTCTTGGGAGAGACCTTGTTCTTGTACCTCTCGGCTAGGGACAAGGCTGTCAACTCAGTTTTGGTATGGGAAGACAAAGGAATTCAGAATCTAGTCTATTATGTCAACAAGGTCCTCTATGACGTCAAGACTAGGTAACCAGAAGTGGAGTAGATAGCCTTTGGGCTGATAGTCTCAACCAAGAAACTAAGGCCCTACTTCCAAGCTCACAGCATCTCGGTACTGACTAACCAACCCCTCAAGTTAGTACTCTCCAAACTAGAGACCCAGGGTCGGCTAACCAAGTGGGTCATCGAGTTGTTAGATTTTGACTTACACTACTAGCCTAGGCTCACAATCAAAGCACAAACATTGGCGGACTTCTTGGTCGAATGCACTTTCAGTCGCGCCCTTAGCTAGTCCTCGAAGAGGATGAGAGGCCTTGGCCCACCTAGATTTTGTTCGTGAATGGATCCTCCAATGCCAAAGGAAGTGGATCTGACCTCATACGTCTCACCTCAGATGACAACAAGTTGGAGTATGCACTGCAGTTCAACTTCCCTACCTCCAACAATGAAGTTGAGTACGAGGCCTTGCTCGTCGGCCTACAGCTCGCCAAAGACCTCAGAGCTAGGCACATTGAGGTCTTCATTGACTCACAATTGGTCGTGAACCAAGTGAACGGGGAATACAAAGCTAGAGAATCAAATATGGGCAAATACTTGGCTAAAGCCTGAGAACTGATCAACCACTTTCAGCGCTCCACCCTACACTAGGTCCCACGAGCCAAGAACACAAGAGCCGATGCCTTGTCCAAACTAGAAAGCTGTTCGGGATCGGCCCTTAGCCGTACAATACACATTGAGAACTTAGCATGGCCCGACATTGAAGAGAAGTAAGTCTATCCCATCCGAGCTAAGCCTTGTCGGATGGACCCCATCCTCGCCTACCTACAACACGAGTAGCTGCCATCTGACAAGAATGAAGCAAGGAAGGTCTGACGGCAGTCAACCCGCTACACACTACTTGAACACAAGCTAGATAGAATATTCTTCACTTTGCCTTACCTTAGATGCCTTCACCGAGAGGAGGGCGAGTACGTACTCCGAGAAATCCACAAAGGAACCCACAACAACCACCTGGGGGGCAGAGCTCTATCACAAAAGGCACTTAGGCAATGATACTTTTGGCTGACCATTCAGAAAGATGCTATTGAGCTGGTGCGAAAGTGTGACTGATGCCAGAGGCACTCTAGCATCTTCCATTGGCCTACGATGACCTTCTCAGCTCTCAAGAGAACTTGGCCCTTTGCAAAATGGGGAATGGACCTCCTCGGACTATTCCCCCAGCCATCAGGAATAGGAAGCACCTTGTCGTTGTAGTAGATTGCTTCACCAAGTGGGTTGAAGTCGAGCCCTTAGCAACCATCACGGCTAAGATGATCTAGAATTTCTTCTAGAAGAATATCGTTTGTTGTTTCGACATCCGCCATATGCTTATCACAGACAACGACTGACAGTTCAACGATTCTAGCTTTAGAGAATGGTGTGGAAGTCTGGGGATAAGACAACAATACACCTCGGTCATCTATCCCCAAACAAACAGGCTAGTTGAGGTCACTAACAGAACCATCCTGGACAGACCGAAGGTGAGACTATACAGAGCCAAGGGACTTTGGGCAGATGAGTTATACAACATCTTGTGGGCCTACCAAACGACACCTCGGACTGCCACGGGTGAAACTCCCTTCAACTTGACATATGGAATAGAGGCTGTCATCCCATCAGAAATCGACCAGCTGACGCTTCGAACCGAGGCATACCAAGAAGTTGAAAACAATAAAGAGTTAAGGAACAACCTTGGTCTGTTACAAGGCGTTCAAGAGCAAGCTTAAATCAAGGTCGCGGCCTATCAGCAAAGAGTTGCCAAATATTACAACTTCCAGGTTGGAAAGCATCACTTCGAGGAAGGTGACCTCGTCCTCAAGAAGGTTATGATTCCCGAGCCCGGTGTCAGAAAGTTTGGCCCTAAGTGGAAAGGGCCTTACAGGATCAAGTAGGTTATCGGTCACAACACCTTTCGGCGGGAGTACATGAGTGGAAGACCAGTACCTCGTACCTGGAACTCCAATAACCTCAAGATGTATTAACACTAATGTAAACATGGCTAGTGAAAATGGTGAGGACTTTATCTAGTGTTTGTTCGAAGAAAGAAGACTTAGGGAATCGGTTGTTGGTAGTCGAGGTCTTTGCGATCACAAGTGAAGACTCAATGTTTGAGCAAATGGTGAGGACTTGCTCCACTAACATCCCTATTTAAAGGAAAACGTACGACTCAAATCCTTTTAATCCAACAACCGTAGACTAGCTGATTTGACAGCCCGAACTGATGGGTTACATGTGGCATTGACCTTGGAAAGATGAAATGATACCGAAGGAATGAGCCAGTTCGCTTGTTAGCTCCGGGTCAAGAACAACCCAAAGTAGCCGAGTCATATTTGGCAGTAACACACACACACGCACACACACACACACACACACACATATATATATAACATTAGATATTTCTCTATCTCTTTTCTTACATTTCATATATTTCTCTATTTTTTTTCTTTCATTTCATACTAATTTTTGTTTAGTATAATGAATATGCAATATTAGACATATGCCCAAATGGTTATTTTAAATATTTATTATTTAACTCTGCATATTTATTAACCCATTTGATCCCAAATGGTTGATTTGTTTACCCACCACAAGGGGGGTGTAATAAAATGGTTTTGTTTTCAAATTACTTTTCAAAATATTAATTTTTATATTATTAAAATTAATGTTGTGGATATAATTAGTAGAATTTAATGATGAGAAAAATATATTTTAAATATAGGATTTAATGGGAGTATATACTTTAAATATGAGATTTAATGAGAGTAAGAATATAGTTTTATTTCCAATTGGTTTTAAATTTTACATTCCATTTCCATCATTACTAAAAACATTTTTTATTTATAATACTTATTATTGTTTAATATGTCAAATATATGATGTTAAAAATGTTACCATTTTTTTTTTAATTTCTATATTTTTTGTATTTTATCTATTTTTTAATTTTATTATTTAATTGTGGCAACATGGATTGACCTATTTGACCCTAATGATTTAATTTCTTACCACCACCTAGAGGAAAAATTATTTTTTTCTAGGTAGATTTTAAAAATATAAGTTTTTATGTTATTAGAATAATTAATTTATTATGTATAAATTTAGTTAATAGAATTTAATGATGAAAAGAAACAAAAATGATTTAAATATATGATTCAATGAAGTTGAATGTAAGTTAATACCTTAAATATTAGATTTAATGAGAGAGAATTCAATGCACTAAATATTTTAAAATTACCTTTTTCTAACTCATTTAATATTAATAATCTGTTATCCTAGTTGCCCTCATTTTTATCAATAAATTTAAATATAAAACGTAATTTTTATCCTAAAAAATTTCAGAAATTTTCTTAAGACTATTAATACTTTTCAACTTGTATAAATAAAAATTTAATTGTTTACAGATCGCTTTTTCTATTTTTATTAACAAAATCTATGTTTTGGATTTTGATGAAAAGCCGTCATGAATTTTGTTAATAACAAATTAACAATAGTGAGAAAAGTCACCAGCATTTGTCACGTTGTCCGAGGGTCTTGGATTTGCCACCTGTTGCAAATCAATTGGTTGGTAATCCGCCACGTGGACGTAAAAGGCTGGTCCAAAAGGTTTCCAAACACCTGGTTCTCTTATCACCCAACGTACCACCCACCCAAAATCCCGAATGCAGGGTTTAAACTACATGGCAGTCCTTCAAGAGTCAAGACCTTCTATCCTACGCCACCGCTGCTTAAAATGCGCACCCTGAGGCCATGCATCTCCTGCTCCTCCTTCCAGCCTCACCTCACTCCGCGTAGGCCCAGCTTCCCTTGCACTCCTTCACCTTCCTTTCTCTTTAACTTCAGACCTAAGCGGTTCTATGTTCTCAAGCCATGTTCTTCACTGAAAGAAACCAAGAAACAGACTCTCCTAAAGCCCTCCAGCATCCCGCAAAGCCTAAGGAGGTTTGGGAATCCGAAGAACGACCGCGATGATTCTGATGAAGGCCGTGACAAGCTCGCAGGAGATGGCGGGGGTGGTTTGGAAGGGGAGACTGCAGCTAAGGGTACTCTTTTAGCGGGTCTTTTGCTTGTTGGTGTTGTCGGTGGTTTTGCATCGGTTGGGTATCTCTACAAGGATCAAATCAATACATTCTTGACGCAGTTTTCGGGATTCATTGAAGGTGATCTTGTTAGATTCTATTGGGTTGTTTGAAAATTTTGGTTTAATTTTGTTCATTTCTTGTTCAAGTTTCACCATTAATTTTAGATTTTAGCTTTTAGGCTTGGTTTTGAAGTTCTTAGTTCTAATTTTGGAAATGGGTCTGACTTTTTAGTTTTGCATTGCATCGTTTTGCTTTAGATTTTAGCTTTAGTTTGCGTTGCTTGATTCGCTTTGGACCATTAAAACTCTAATTGACCATTAACAACCAAGCAGCAACCATTGTCTTCTTAGACACGCCTTATTCATAGTAAAATTGATCTCTGAAAACTGAATGAATCGGTCCAATAAGCAAGATTGCTTACTGTAATATTAGATCCACACCAGAAAACAAACACTAGAAAATGGCATTGAATGGGGATATTTTCTTTTCTCATCCATTTCTCGGTAACCAAAGGGACCATAGGTGTCAACATCCATTGATGAATGAGACAATAAGTAAGTACCTTACTGAAATATTTCCTTTTCCACGTCATATTTCCATTTACATGGGTGGGTGCTGACACAAAATATTACTGGAGTTGACATATTCCCCGATTAAAGCTACCGGTGCTATGTGGAGTACAAGAGATGGTATTATAACATAAAACGGAGATAATATTTTAGATATGTAGAGTAGCAGTGTTATTTCCCACGTAATGGACATGATTATTAGGGGTGTCCACGGTTCGGTTAATCGAACCATGGGCAATTTTTGCAAACTGGTACCATCGGTTTTTCCATTTCTCCAAACCGAAACTGAACCGGTACCACCAGTTAACCGGTCTGCTTGTTTTGGTTTTTGACCGGTTCGGTCTTCGGTTTTTTATATTTATAATATATATTATATAAATAATGTTTAATATTATATTATAAGTAATAAATGATATATAATATTATAAATGTTTTAAAAGTACATAAATATATAATATATTTATAAATAGATTATTATAAATATAATATATGTATATATTTATAAATATATAATGATATATATATATATATATTTATATATAATATATAGAAAATATGTGACATATAAAAAATATATATAAAATATACACATAAATACCGGTCGGTTTGGTTAACTGTCGTTTTTTTGTAGGTTAACCGAAAACCGAACCGGTCCTTCGGTTTTTCAAATATACCAAATCGAAACCAAACCGATCGGTTTGGTTAACCGCATTTTGCAGTTCGGTTTTCTCGGTTCTGCTCGGTTTTTCAGTTTTTCATGGACACCCCTAATGATTACCATTTAACCAGCTCGAAATTCTTTTAAAACATGAAGTTAAATCTTAGTTTATATTGTATAAGAAATTATTCAGTTAATCTATTAGAATCATTTGCCCTTTCTATAAGTTCAAATTTTGCTTGAACTCCCTCTATCATGCAGTTTTGGTGATTTGGAACAAGATATTAATTTAAGAGGGTCTATCCATGCATCTTTTATCATTGCATAAAATAACACACTGTATTTTTGCATATTTCACAATATTTCTACCTTGTCTATAATTTTTACAATATTTCCATAAGATGTCTTTGACATTTTTGACATGTTTCCTATATTTGGATGATCAATTTTTTACCAACATCAACATTTTAAACATTGACTTGGAGTCAACACGAAATACAATAAATAATGAAATTTCTTCATTTATTTATCTAATATCCTCATGGAATATGGTTTTCCTAAAGAGAAACTCAAAGAAAAAAAATACTTTCTTGCAAACAAATCCTGTATCTCTTGAAGATTTCCACATATCTAGCATATGTTGAGGATCCAATAAAGCTTGAAGATTTTTAGGAGAATCTTGTGAAGACTTGATATTAATAGAATCTTCTCCATATTACATGACAAAGTTTTCAAGGAGCCAAGGTAAGGATAGGTGATAGGGAGGCTTTGTTGCCTAGTTGCCTGGGCGGGTGCTTAGGCATCGCCTAGGTGATGATTTCCTTTTTTAAATAAAAATCACAAATCCTAGGGTAATTTCCTAGGTTCCAATTCCATGCTAACCAGCACCATCCTTCACTTGTAATAATCTATAATCTTCACATAAAAAGTATAAACTTTATATTAAGACATAAAATCAACAATGTCTTTTTGTTATAAAATAATAAAAGAAACTAGTAATAAACCCACAAAATGAATAATTTAGTTTAATAATGTCTCTTTTATTATAAGCTCAAAAAGAAAGAATATACAAAACATTTCACAATGCCATGTATGAAATGGCTTGGCATTTAAGCAAGGGGACTAGACCAAGCAATCAGGTTGGGGTTGAGTTGGGTCAAGGCATTTTTTTGGGTCATTTCGGGTTAGGTCGGCTTTTAGGTTGGGGTCGGCAAAGGCTAGATCCTAACCCTAAATATTCAAGTTAGGAGTGACCTACGGGTCAGGTGGGTCAATGGTTTAATCGTATAGGTCAGTTGGTCTTTGACCAAGCCAATGACTTTTTTACCAAAAATATGGGTTTAACCATCTAGTTCAAATTGCTCAATCGTCACAACCAACATCGATTTGAAAATAGGTGACTTGGTAGTGACTTGTGAGTTGTGACCTGACCTAACCAACCTGAAATCTCTTCAGGTTGATAGAGGTGTAAAGTGGGCAATACCTGCCTGGCCTAGAACCCTAGAAGAGGCAGAACCAATGACACGAGTCCAGGTAGGCCCGTGTTGGGCTGGGCTGGGCTATGCTGCGGGCATGGGTTGGGCCAATCCGTGGGCCTAGGTTGTGTTGGGCCAAGTCTTTTTTTTTTTGCTATTTCTTTTTCATTTTTTGCTAAGTAAAGATGATACACATTTTGGGAAAAAATAAAAGTTTTACAAAAAATACTTAACAAAATACAAAGTAAACAACAAATTGAAAAGAATTTCATAAATTTTATTTCATTTGAATTTAATGAATACAAAGTAAAAAAAATTGGAAAAATACAGTGAAATTGTCATAAAATATAAAAATAATGTAATAAAATTGAAAATAAAAAATTACAATGGTATTGAAAAAATCACAAATAAGTAATAACTTTTAAATAAAATTGAAACACATTTACAATAATTTTTAAAATGCTGTAAAATTATTGAGTATACAAAAAAATATTGACTTCATTATTTTCTTCAAGTTCCGCCTCCATCTCCTTGACCTTGGATTTTGATTTACATTATATGCCTCTAGGGAAACATTGGGTGAAGTGTCATTCCCTCCTTGATCTTATGGTCTATCCTCAAAATCCAACCAACCCTTTAAGCATATACACATCTCCAGGATTTTGTCATTCATGTAGCTTCTTTTGTTGCCCAGTACCCTAGTCCCTACACTAAAACAAGACTAATGGAATTGTAGACATTGGATGGGTTAGTAGATCACCTGCCATAGCGGCAAGAGCTGGATAGTTTTTTTCCATGTTCACTCTACTAGGCTAAAATATCAAAATAATTTAATTCCTCTGAGTTGAGGGAATCTATTAAATTAGTAAAATTAGCTTGTAAATAAAAATTAAGTTCAGTAAATGACCTTGATGATGAAGTGGTAACTGATTCCACTACTAGATGTTTTAGTAGTGGAGGTTGTACAAGTTCTCCTATATCCTAATAATTGAGATTCATATGGATTGTACATATCAAATAATAAATTATTCTTTTTTGTTCAAATTCCAGTTTTCATAATTTCGTAATAAGATTCAAGTACGACATCTAAACCATCTTTTCTAATCCTAGGATCTAATATTGTAGCTAAGCAATATAGGGGAGAAATGTATTCCCAATATATTTTAAATTTAAGTTTCATTACATTAATAATATTTTGAAATTTTAAATTATCTGTATATTTTGAAAAGCATTCACTAATTATAAATAATTGATTAATTAAAATACAAGAAGTTGGGTAATACACACTAAAAAATGTTTTAGTTGTATCATAAAAAATTAGTAAAAAAATCTTTTATACAAACTACAATTTCCCAATCATTATCGATTATAAAATCATGGGGTATTTTCTCATTATGAAAATTAGTGAGAATATATTTGTATGAAATACAAACCTCTAACATAGAATAGGTGGAATTCCACCTATGATGAATATCTAATACAAAATTTCTATATTTTAGACCATATTTTTGACATAAATATTTAAATTCTTGTTTTCGTGCACCAGAACTTCTAACTTCTAATATACATAATACAATTTCTAATTTTAGAAATATGATGAGAAATAATATCTAAAGCATGTTGAACACATATGTTTAAGATGTGGTATGCACATCTAATAAGAAATAACTTACAATTTAAACATGGTTTTAATTGATATTTTAAAATATTTATTGCTGAATCATTATTAGTTATTACTGACATTATCAAAACTAATAGAAAAAACTTTGTTTTCAATTCCATAAGCATGTAAAGTGTTTAATATACTTGTAGTAATTGCTAGGCCAGTATTTGGCCATTCAAGTTTTGTAAAACTTAAAATTTTATTTTGTAAAAGCCAATGTTCATCAATAAAATGCCCCATAACATAAATATAACTTATATTATATTTGGAAGTCCAAATATTAGATGTAAGTGCAATTTTAAAATTAAGAGTTGACATAGTAGAAATTAAATTTTGTTTATATGAATAAGAATTTTTTTAAAGCATCTGGATTTACTAATTGTTGTCAAAATCTTTCTGGCCTAGGGTCTTCAACTAATAAAAACGGCTGTTCAGCATGTACAATATATTTAGTTAATTCTTGCCTCGTTTTTTCTTGGGAATATTGAAAATTATCGAAAAAACACTAAATTTGTGATTGGTTTTGACTAAAATCACTCTTACATATCATGCAAACAACTCGTTTTCTCTTCCCCTCAAGAGTTTTTAGAGTAAACATTTTCTAGACTGGGCTAGACTTTTTCTTTCCCCTAGTAGTAGTAATAGGGGTGGCTCCGACAGCATCAACCATAGAACCACTAGGACCCATATTGGTGTTGTCGTACTATTTTTTT